TCTCATTTGGGAATCGCAAAGTAATGGGGGTAAAAACTTGTTCCCTCGTATGCCTTTGGCACCCGTTCCATCGCATCTTTCACCAAGAGAGAAGTGACCTCCTGGAGAAGGAGGGGAGAGGGAGGGATGGCCAGGAAAACAGGCAACATTGGATAGTCCACAAATTCTATTGAATAACCGTGGGTTAGGATGGATAAAACCCAACCATCCAGGTAGGAATGGGGAAAGGCGGGTGGAGGCCCTGAAGCAATCTGGGGCAAGTCAAACACCCGGTTTGGAAGTCTTTTGAGGTTTTGCCCTAGACTGCTGCTGTTGCGGGCCATATGTGGACTATGCAGGGTATTGGTACTGTTGGTGATGGCCCTTAGGTGACTGACATGGTCTCCAGGTACCCTCTGGGGACGGTTTGTTAAATGGGCGTTTGGAACTGTATCGAGACCAGGAACGCTAGTGGTACGGCTTGGAAGGAGCAGAAACGCCCAAGGACCTAGAGGCCTTTATGCTCTTGTCCATCTCCTGCAGAGCAGAGTCAGTAGAGGAGTGTAACAGGCCGTCACCGTCAAAGGGGAGATCTTCTATGTATGCCCTGGTATCAGGTGGCAAAGAAGTCATTCTCAGCCAGGAGTGCCTACAAAGGGTGACCAGTGAAGACATAGTTTTGGAGAAAGTATCCAGTGAGTGCTTAGATGAATTCAGAAGCTGCTTCACCAGAACCATGCCTTCCTTTTGTAGGGTTCGGGCTGCTTGAGTTTTGTCCTCAGGAAGAAAGGGCAAGATGTCAGAAAGTTGTTGCCATAATGCATACTGGTACCTACTCATACATGCAATGTAATTGGATGTTTTGATTCCCAAAGCACGCACTGAGTAAAAGTGTCTCCCAAAAGCATCAAGCTTCTTGCTTTCCTTGTCAGAGGGAGTCGTATGAGTGCATCTAGTTCTGGAAGAAGAGGAGACAACCATGGAGTTTGGTTTTGGATGGACGTGTAGAAAACCAGCTCCTTCCTCTTGCACTCTATATGTGTGATCCAGTCTCCGTGTCGACACCAGTGCGGATGAGGGCTTCTCCCAGGGCATCTGCATTACATGTAGGAGTACTTTTGACATTGGAAGGGAGATCGCTGTGGACGTGTCCATCTAGACAACATCATAAACTGCGTCCGATATCGATGGTTGAGGTTGGACGATAGACAGACCCAATGAATGAGCCATTCTTTTGACTAAATCTCCATAAGAAGACAAGTCCTCAGATGGGGAGATTGGGAGGTCTTCGGAGACCTTATGTTTTGGAGACATAACTCCCTGTGAGATCTCACCCTCAGACTGGTCGACATCAGAAGTGACTGGAGAGGCCTCGGAAGGCGATGGAGACTTCTGGATAGGAATTGGCAGTGTATGAAGCTCCTTCAGAGTAACTGACGATGGTGGTGGAGGAGGCGATGGAAGACAAGGCACGACTTGCCTCGAAGGAGGAGATTTCGGTGGTTTGGAGAGATGTGGACGGTGGTTTGGAGAGATGTGGATGGTGGTGGATGATGTGGAGAGCGGGGTAGGGTCAAATGGTGGTCCCAATCCTCCAGTCTCATAGGTGTCAGCCAAGGCATCGATGCCGAAAGAGGGTAGGAAGAGAACCAGTATGGTATGTGATGACGATGAGCCCACGGGGAAAGCATTGATGAGTGATGTTGGTATCGGGAAGGAGAGCCCTGACCTGAAGGTGGCTTGGGTGAATAATCCCTCCTCGGTGATCGGGATGAGTGGTGCCGATCAAGACGGATCCTATATCCATCCCATCGACCTTGATCATCCACGCAGACTGGAGAACGGATCAGTCATCGGGTCGATATCGACGGTCTGGGTCAGAACGACCGCTGGTCCAGGAGGAAGCGGACCTAGAGCGTCGGCTGACACCAGAAGCCGCTATTACCTCACCTTCAGCTTCGGAAGCCGATACAAATGGGGAGCATCATCCAAGGTTCATGTCTTGTACCGGAGGGTTAAGCTGCCTGACTGGAGAGTCAAGAATTTCATTCAGTGGCATCAATTGTACATTCGGCAGCTCCGGCATGGACTGATGCATCAATAGGGAGTGTGACTGTGATATTGTTGGCAGCGCAGAGCCCTTAGGGAGTACTACACTGCTCACCTTGTGAAACTTATGTGAGTTCCCAGTGGACAACTTGTGGGAGGTATGTTCCTCAGACTTATTCCTCTTCTGTTTCTTCGCTGGTGTTGAGGCAGAAGAAGCAGACTTGGAAGAGTGCTTCTTGGAGGGGGTTGGCCCCGTATCAGAAGCAGATTTGACTGGTCGAGGTGGTCTCAGCGTTAAGAGGGTATCCGTGGATCCTGGCGTCGAAGTCAATGGTTTCGGTGGGGGATCCGTCAATACTGATGGTTTCTGAGGGACTTCGGTCAACATAGTTGAAGATGGAGGGGCAAGGGCCAATTCCCAAAGGGCGACTGTCAACCTTGCTGCTCTATTTTCGCGCGTTTGGTTTGAAAGTTTTGCACAGAAAGCACAACCCTCTGGACGGTGAGATTCACCCAAACAAATTATACAGACTGTGTGTGAGTCTCGCGGAGCTAACTTACTCCCACATGAGGCACACCTCTTAAAACACCCCCACTTCTTATCCATAAACAGTTCCTCAGACGTGAGGGGAGGGGGTTGACGATCCGAAGACCACAGAAAGTTCTCACCCGCCACCTCCTCTAACAGTTCTTGACAAAAAGTCCAATATTCTAAGAAATAATCCAATGGAAGAAGAAAAATTAAGAATTCCCGAGGTGAGGAGAATAGGAACAAGCACCAACTGATGAAAGCTGCTAACAGCGAGGCGGTCAGAAAAGAACTGGCAGGATGTCCATGCTCCACCCCCCTGGGCATGCTCAGTTGGGGTTCCCACGCAGGCTCAGGGTGGAGGCGCGAAAATCCCGTTGTGAGCTATGTACAACAGCAATCAGATCAGCGCAGGTGCACAAGAACCCATAGGTGTGATGCACAGAGACCACGAAGAAGATCCATTATGAACTCTCTTACTCCTGACACCATCTCTTACCTACCTTCATGGCCTCTGGTGTGTTGCTCAGAACTGAAACAACTTTTAGACGCCTTGAAGTCAGGGAAAGCCCCTGATATAGATTTAATTTCCCAAGAGTTAATTAAGAGAAATGCTGAATGGTGGGTCCCTGTTCTAGCATCCCTATTTACACAAATTGGTCACTCAGGAAAAATCCCCAAGGACTGGGCGACTGCCATAATTATTCCATTATACAAGAAAGGCAATAAAGAAGACCCTAATAATTACAGACCCATAAGCTTCCTCAGCATAGTGAGCAAACTTTATGCAAAACATCTATTATGGAAATTTAGAGACGTTAGAAAATGATTTCTATATGGCAGACAAACAAGCTGGATTTAGAAAAGGTCACAGCACATTAGATCATTGTATGATTTTGGACTACCTGATTGCCAAATATTCATCTAAGTCAAGTATATCCCTTTATGTGGCCTTTCTTAACCTTAAATCAGCCTTTGACACAGTCTCTAGAGTTATTTTATGGGATAAATTAAGCTCTACCAACATCAACAGGCGCCTACTCTTTCTTATCCAGGTCCTTTATAATCAGATTTCGATAAGGGTAAAATATACTCCCAAGGGCACCTGACAGATCCCATTAGTACAAACAAAGGGGTTCAACAGGGTTGTCTTTTGCCCCCCCCCCCTTTTTAACTTTTATATTAATGACCTGGTGGTTTACATTGACAAGCCGGAGTGTCATCCTCCAAAACTTAGTAACAAACATGTTGGTGTTCTTCTATATGCTGATGATGCGGTTCTTTTGTCAAGAACACCTATAGGCCTTAGAAGAGCACTTAAATTATTTTCTGAATATTGCCATGACAATAGTTTAGAGATAAATTACTCCAAAACCAAGGTAATGTTTTTTGCTAAAAGGTCACCAAAATCTTATCACTGGACTCTAAATTCCTTCTCTATAGAACAGGTTTCTAGTTTCAAATATCTGGGGGTTTTGTTCCAGGAAAATGGCTCAATATCTAGCAATATAAGCAAGGCAACATTAAAGGCCAGCAGGAGAGCTGGGGCTATCCAGAAATGGCACAAAGGGGGTAAATCCATAATAGCAGCCCTCCATTTATTCAAGGCCAAATCTCTTAGCCAACTCACTTTTAGTACCCCCTTTAATATCACTTCAAATTTTAAAAAACTGAAGGCTGTTCAATCTAAGTTTCTGAGAACAGTCCTCCAAGTCCCCCCTGGTACTTTAAATGCCTTGATCAGAACAGAAACAGGCATGATCCCGGTGGAAACTTTAATGCATGTTATATATGACTGCAGGGCATATAGCCACTTTTGTGATATTCTCCCACTCTCTACAACTACTCTATTCTCAACTAGTCAAAAGATACAATTACTGAAGAACCTCCTAGAAAGTAGGCTCCCTGAGGTTACAGCTAAACTTGCCAAATTTGGCTGGTTAGCTGTAAGGACTAGAAAGCTGCTAGTGAAAGGCAAATAGATGTAATTTGCTATAGGACTTAACAGGTTTTACTTGCACACGCTATTTAATATTTCATTTTATTCATGTTTGTGGTTTTATGAATTTTGACAAATTTAATTTGACTACTGTATTAAAGTTCTGGCTTTTGGTGTGAATAAATTTGAAATTTGTTTTGGGGGATGCCTTCAGAAGATTAATTCTTTAATTTGCTCAGAGAACAAAAAAAAGGATTGGCTGCTTCACCAAGAGAGAAGCCATCAGAGGGGCTAATGCCCAATGCCTTTTTGCCATTTCTATGGAAACTACCATCCAGCTTCCAAACTGTGATAGCAACTGCTGATATGCAGACATTCGGCCTTACCAAGTGATATCACATTGCTACTCTGACTTGTTGCATAATCATCTGTCAGTCAATGCTGATTTAACCACATTCAGCAGTGGAAGAGATCATCAAAAGCTTTTTTCAAAATAAACATTACCTGCAGGATAACCCAATGTCCTTCCGCTGCAGCCAGGTCTAAGGCCTGCTCTGCCACTACCTCCTGGCCTTGCCCAAGTGAGACATTATGGAAATTCCTGTTATTAAATGTGTAGCCAAGTTTCTTCCCTGAAATGCAAAACAAACGTTTTCAGATGTTAGTCAGAACATCTCACACAGCAGCAGGAGCACAGATATTGCTGTGATCTCTTTTTTGCTACCCAGATGTGCTAATGTGCAGAAATTAGGGTGTGATGCTGTTTCTATCAGATCTTCAAAGTCTGGATTGGCTTTTGATTCACTAGATGCATGCAAAAGCAGGCGAGTTCAGTCTCTGTGCACTGTGAGCATAATCCCCCACAAAATCTAGAAGGACTGGTAAATTGTAGCTAAACTACAAAGCATCATAAGTTCACAATACAAGGAACCACGGTGTTTGGGAGACTAAAGATACAAAGCACACAGGACATGCAAATATACGAACTGTAATAAAGATTTTAATAAATGATACCCCATGTGATTCAATATCTATAAATTTCTGTTCTATGAAACACCTAATTTCTATCTCTATTATCAACCATATGTTTCACCTATACAGTATATTCAATCTCACATCAAAAAGTCCTTAGTTTTAAGCTTAAATAATTAAATTAAATTAAATTAAAAACAAGCTCAATAATTTCTACAACAACAGGAACGTCTGAATCACAACATATACAATTCCACGTATATTCAGCAAGAAAAGTTCAATGCATTACATCATGTCAGTTAACTCCAAATTTTACAGGTGAAAATTCAGCAGATAAGCACAGGAGGAGAAGAAGCATGGTTGGAAACAGGGGCTACCCAATTACCTGTTAAACCAAAAATTAAAGCCAGAAGTTAAACTAGTAAGCCTAAAGTAAAAATTAGAAGTGAAATTGACATAATTCAATGGAGAGAAGTCGAAGGATAAAGAGGACATCATGTTGCACACATAGTCGGAAGAAAGAGACCAACACAGGTATTTGGTATAAACTGAAGGGCAGCTTTATTTAACTTTCAGATTAACTTGAGTCAACTGTAACAGGCAAGGACCAAAACTCTCATCAGGATCCTCTGATCCCTTTCCTGACCTTAAACAGGGTGAATCACTGAGCCCGTGGCACAAGCCAACCTTAACATGGCTGTTGCCAGGCAGCAGACATACTAACAACCCTGAAGTGAGCCAGCCACCTCTAGCTGCGGGGAAAGAGGGGATACCCACTCCAGCAGTCCCCATCTGAGGCCCACGCCAAGATACGGTTTGTGCTAGGTGCTCCAACCCCCTATTCAAGGAGGGGCGAGATTCCTGCCAACACCCTAGTTAACAGCACTGCCTCAGAGCTTGAAATATACTGGGTTCGACATGCAAGTAGTGCTGCTCGTGCTTTATTCAATGATCTAGCTCAACTACAAGACAACTCCAGCAGAGCCGAAGCCCTGTTTATAATCCCATCAAACGGCACACCCCAAACACACCACTCCCAACATTAGGCTATTTACACACTAATTGCATCCCGATAGGTGGCTGCCAGGATCCTGCTGGTCTATTGTATTTTTCCCCAAGCTCACCTTCTTTCTGGCAGCCCCAAGTTGCAGGGAGACTTTTTCAGTACACAACAGAGCCAGTTCCCCTACCACAACGACAGTGTGAGGTAGGCAAAAGCACTCCCTTTCTAGGCCAATTTGGAAAAGGGCAAAAAATTCCAACCCAGCCCCAAAATGGTGACCAGCAGAAGCCCACATTGCCAAGGGAGGGAGGGCCAATTGCAAAAAGATTGCCCTGATGTGGGGGAGCGCTGTGCTAATAAGCACTAAACTCCACCCCCGCTGAATACCCGTATGGGTGGGAATCACCCCAACACAGGCCTCTCTCCTTCCATGTGTGCAAAGGAGGCCCTCCATCAGTATGCAACCCATGGGATGCCATCTGTTAGGACCGTATTACCAGTGCGTAGCTAATTAAGGAATACAGAAGGTTCCTGGGCAAAACATTGTGAAATCTCCAGGTCAATTTATTGTTTAAGACTGGTACTTAATAGTAGAATCAGACTTAACCTACCTGATGTACTGCATTGGATTCTCCTGTTGAACTTACTTATTGAATCTTCACGTGTAAAATTTGGAGTTAACTGAACTGATATACTGCATTACACTTTCTAGCTGACTATACCTCTCGAATTGCATATGTTGTGATTCAGATGTTCCTATTGTAGAAATTATTGAGGTCTTATATAATTAAGCTTAGAGTCTTTTTGATATGAAATGGAATATATGTGTAGGGGACCTATATGGTCATAACAGAGACAGAAATTAGGTGTTTCAGAGAACAGAAATGTATAGATATTGAATCACACAGGGTATAGTTTATTAAAATCTTTATTACAGTTTGTATATCTGCATGCATGGTGTGTTTTGTATCTAAGCTAAAAAACTAGGCAGGTTAGAATTCTGCTT